AAGTAGAAATACATTAAACAGAGTGGACAACTTCCAATCATTTCTAGGCTTATTTTTTAAGTCCATGAGCAAACTACCAGTTCAGACCTCTATCGAGAAAAATCTGTCTCTCTTCTGGAAGTCAATTGGGTAAATACAAAGATAGGAGGTATATCTAGGTTGACAATACTTTAATTACCATGGCCCAATGCTATAGGATCCTGAGAGTCGTGGTTTGTAAGGTACCGGCATTCTTTAGCAGAGAAATCTAAGGACCTTGTAAAAATACAACTCCCATGATTCTATAGCTTTGGGCCATGATAGTTAAAGTGGTGTCAAACTGCAATTTAACAATCAAACTCTAGCTCCTTCTTCATCAAACTCTAGCTCCTTCTTCCATGCACCCCTGGAAGAAGTTCATTTCATTTACGATTCTTGTTTTAAATTGATACATACCAGCCCTTGACAAGTTATCCCTGGAAGAATGTGGTCTTTTGAGAGAGAAAAGGCTTTCCATCCCTGTATCAAAACCTCACGGGGCCTAGCAACATTCACCATCAGAGATAATACTCTTAGGCACCCTCCACACAGCTGAATGAAATCCCACATTATCTGCTTTGAACTGGAATATATGGCAGTGTAGACTCAGATAACCAAGTTGAAAACAGAGATTGTGGGATTTTCTGCCTTGATATTCTGGGTTATATGGCTGTGTGGAAGGGCCCTTAGTATATCTCCATGAAGCATAGAAGTATCTTCTTCCAATCACGATGGTCTTGTGCTGCATCTCTAAATCAAATGTGATCAGTTCTTTCAATTAGCCACTCTGGGTCTCAACCAGGAGAGAAAACTGGGGTAGAACAAAATACAACAAGAACAACAACAACAACACCTATGTGGACATAGCTCAATTCCCCAGTCACACAGCAGGTTACCTATTGCATCTGTGCATGAGTTACTATATTGTACTTGGACTTGCAAGTGGGAAGGTTACTCAACGGAATGATTCTTAATACAGATAATGGGATACCCTGCAGACAAGTAGTTTTTAGTCTTAAACTGTGACTCTATGCATCCTGATGTGGAAATAAATCTCACTGATCACAATGGTGCTAACTTCCTGTTAGTCAGAGTGGTGTAGTGGGTTAAGCACTGGACTAGGTCTCTGGACTCCAAGGTTTGGCCATAGAATCCTATTTGGTGGTCTTGGACAAGTCACATGCTCTCAACCCCAGAAACCCCTGTGGTAGGTTTGCCTTGGAGTCACCATAAATCAGTACTTCTCAACCTGTGGGTCCCCAGGTGTTTTGGCCTACAGCTCRCAGAAATCCCAGCCAGTTTACCAGCTGTTGGGATTTCTGGGAGTTGAAGGCCAAAACATCTGGGGACCCACAGGTTGAGAAGCACTGCCATAAATGGAAAACAACTTGAAGGCACACAACAAAACAACCCAAAACCAGAATGCACCATTACACATTCTGGGACAGAAAATATTCAGCCTTCAGTTTATTCAGTTCCCCAAAAGAGCAGCTATACTAGTCCAAAACATCTGGAAAGCTAAAGAATTTCCATTTTTCAATGTAAAACTGGCCCCAGTTCAAATTTGTRGGTAGAGGTTGTATATGTGTGTAGTATCAGTCCTCATAACAAGCTATCATTTTATTGCAGCATTTGGATGTTTATCTTTCTAACAGACTATGTGTAATTTACAAAAGGGCCTTGTAGTAACTTAAAGGCTAAGAGAAATTTATTCAAACTGGAGTGGGGGGGGGGGGTCCACCTAAACATTTGGAAGGACTTCCTGACAGTAAGAGTTGTTTGGCAGTGAAATATGCTGCTGGGAGTATGGTACAGTCTCCTGGAGGCTTCTAAGAAGCAGGGTGGCCATGTTTCGGGGATTGTGCTTTTCCTGCATTGCAGAATACGGTTGGACTGGATGGCCCTTGTGGTCTCTTCCACCACTATGATTCCATGAAAACTTTTGCAGACTGAAGTCCAAAGGTCCTTCCACACAGCCCTATATCCCAGAATATCAAGGCAGAAAATCCCACATGAGTGTGGACACAGATAACCCAATTCAAATAAGATATTGTGGGATTTTCTGTCTTGATATTCTGGGATATAGGACTGTGTGCAAGAGCCCTACATCATCAAACTGCGTGAAGAAAACTTGAGTCTTCGAAAGCTCACACCAATAATTTTTTTCTCTTAGTTAATTATAAAGGTGCTACAAGAGCACTGTGCATATTGACCCACATTAACACGACGTCTACCACTGGAAACATGCTGAAAATTGTTCAGACCTAGAGCTCGTATATTTGCTGTATGCTCTTTAACTTAGTAATTGTTCCTGCCTCTTTTCTTGGATGCCTAAACTGTCTTTATAATTATTCATGTGACTGTAGATTTAAGTTATACAGCAGTAGCAATTTAGGACTGAATACAAATTTCCTTGGGGGCAGAATTTTTATTTGAAGGCTATCCTTGATCTTGCTCCACTCCCAACTCCAAGATTAGGTATATATGCATATGCCAAAATCTGAGGAGAAAAGAAAATCTGAAATCTAAACCATTTCTTGTCCAAAAAAATTAAGAGATATTCAAATATGCTATGGAATCACAAGAGCTGTAGTTTTACAAGTTCTTCAGCCTTCTCTGCCCAACTCTGGTGCCTCATCAAACTCTAGCTCCCATGGCTCCATAGTATTCAGCGATGGCAGTTAAAGTGGTGCCAAACTGGATTAATTCTACAGTGTACACACAACTTTTATGCCTGTTCTGTGCTTTCAAGTCATATCAACTTCTGGTGACCCTATTGCAGGATTTTGGAAGCAAGGTTTGTTCAGGTTTGCCTTTTTCTGAGACTGAGAGCGCACAATTTGCCCAAGGACACCCCTGTATTTGTATTACTCAATGTCAGGTTAAACTACTAAGTTGCATAACTAGCTGACTGGAAAGTCAGCGGTTCGAATTCATCGGACAGGCTGGGCTCCCGTCTGAGCCCCAGCTTCTGCCAACCTAGCAGTTCCAAAACATGCAAATATGAGTAGATCAATAGGTATCACTTTAGCAGGAAGGTAGTGGCGCTTCATGGAGTCATGCTGGCCACATTACTTAGGAGACGTCTACGGACAACACCGGCTCTCAGGCTTAGAAATTGAGATGAGCACCACCCCACAGACAGGACTAGACTTAATCTCAAGGGGAAAGTTCTACCTTTATGTAACAACATGAAAAAAATGTTCTGTTCCTGGTTTAAAAGTGTCATTTCCTGTTTAATTGTGCGGCGTTTTCTTTGAAAGTAGTTGTTCTACTCCAGAAACTTCATTTTTTTGTGGCTGCCACAAACTATATGGAATTAGTTGAGATACTTATGAGATGTTCATTGAAAAACTAGAACAAAATGTGCTGCAGAATGTCCTGCCAAAAGAAAAAATTTGCAGCTTAACCAAATGTTCCTCATGTTTTTATGATAGATCCAGTTAGGAAATGACATTTATAACCTAGGAACAAAAATCATGTTATGTTGTGTTATGATCTGGTGAAAATTAAATCCACGGAGAGCAGGTCCACTGAAAGCAATAGGAGTCAGGGTGATTTTAACATTGTAGACCAGGCATGCACAAACTTGGGTCCTCCAGATGTTTTGGACTGCAACTCCCACAATTCCTAACAGACTGGCTGTTAGGAACTATGGGAGTTGCAGTACAAAACACCTGGAGAGCCCAATTTTGCCCATGCCTGTTTCAGACTAAATACAGTTTGACACTACTAGGGGCTCTTCCACATAGTAGTATAATCCAGAATATTAAGGCAGAGGAGGAGCTGAGGAGCCTTCTAATCAAGGTGAAAGAAGAAAGCAAAAAGATGGGGTTCCAGTTAAACATAAAAAAAAACAAGATTATGGCAACAAGAATGATTGACAACTGGGAAATAGAGGGAGAAAACATGGAGGCCATGACAGACTTTGTATTTCCAGGTGCAAAGATTACTGCAGACGCAGACTGCAGCCAGGAAATCAGGAGACACTTACTTCTTGGGAGGAGAGCAATGACCAATCTGATAAAATAGTGAAGAGTAGAGACATCACACTGCCAACAAAGACCCGCATAGTTAAAGCAATGGTATTCCCCATAGTAACCTATGGATGTGAGAGCTGGACCTTAGGGAAGGCTGAGCGAAGGAAGATAGATGCTTTTGAACTGTGGTGTTGGAGGAAAGTTCTGAGAGTGCCTTGGACTGCGAGAAGATCCAACCAATCCATCCTCCAGGAAATAAAGCCCGACTGCTCATTGGAGGGAAGGATACTAGAGACAAAGTTGAAGTACTTTGGCCACATCATGAGAAGAAAGGAAAGCTTAGAGAAGACAATGATGCTGGGGGAAAATGGAAGGAAAAAGGAAGAGGGGCTGACCAAGGGCAAGATGAATGGATGGTATCCTTGAAATGACTGGATTGACCTTGAAGGAGCTGGGGTGGTGACGGCCGACAGGGAGCTCTGGCGTGGACAGATCCATGAAGTCACGAAGAGTCGGAAACGACTGAACTAATGAACAACATTAAAGCAGAAAATCCCACAATATCTGCATTGAACTGGGTTGAGTCCACACTCAGATAATGTAGGATTTCCTGCCATCATATTCTGGGGGTTATCTGAGTCTACACTGCCATATATTCCACTGCAATGCAGATATTGTGAGATCTCCAGCCTTGATATTCTGGGTTATATGGCTGTGTGGAAGGGCCCTTGAACTGTCATGGCTCAATGCTATGCAATCACAAGAATGGTTCTGCAAGGCCTTGAGCCTTCTTCTCTGCCAAACTGTGCTGATTCCTCATCAAACTACAGTTCCCATGATGCCATAGCACTGGGCCCTTGTGGTGAAAGCGGTGCCACACTGAATTCCTTCTGCACCCAGTGTCTCTCCTCAGAGTTGTGACTTGCCTTGGACGGAGACTTGCCTTGGATGGGACTTGCCTTGGATGTTAGGAACTATGGCTGCCTTGGATGGAGCACTTACCCAGCCCCAAGGCGGGGATGCTTAAGCCATTGGAGAGCGGGACAGTGGGCGCGCCTAGAGCAGCCATGCTGAGCCGCCTCCAGCCCTGGAGAAAGACGCCCATCCGCAGAGAGAGAGAGAGAGAAAGAGATTCCTCGGCTGTCGCAAAGTGTCGCGCAGAGAGAGGGTGAGCGGCGCGCTTTACGGCAAGCAACAGCAGGACCAGGAAGCTGCAGCCAAAGCGTGGCAGAAGGGCTGCCTGATGGAGAAAATGCAGATGTGAGTGGGGAGGGCAGGAGGGGAAGCGTTGTGCCCCCTTCTTTCCCAGAATCTGATGCTTCTTCAGCCCATAGTAATACCAGGAGAAGGGGAGTCCAGGGCTGTCTCGCTACACTGTGGAATTAATGCAGTTTGACACCGCTTTTAAGTGCCATGGGGCAATGCTATGGAATCATGGGAGTGGTAGTTTCACAAAGGCTTCCAGAGAGCATTGGGGCCTCCCCAAATGTCTTTAGTTATATAATAATAACAATAATAATAATAATAATAATAATATAATTGTTAATATATATATATATATAATTCAATAATAATATAATATTGATGTAATATATATTATACATACTACAACTTATGATATTTATGATATTTGCATGTTTTTGAACTTTTTTTTTGTCGTGTCAGGAGCGACTTGAGAAACTGCAAGTCGCTTCTGGTGTGAGAGAATGGGCCATCTGCAAGGACGTTGCCCAGGGGACGCCCGGATGATTTGATGTTTTTATCATCCTTGTGGGAGGCTTCTCTCATGTCCCCGCATGAGGAGCTGGAGCTGATAGAGGGAGCTCATCCGCCTCTCCCCGGATTCGAACCTGCAACCTGTCGGTCTTCAGTCCTGCCGGCACAGGGGTTTAACCCATTGTGCCACCGGGGGCTCCGTTTTTGAACTGCTAGGTTGGCAGAAGCTGGGGCTAACAGAAGGAGCTCATGCTGCTCCCCGGATTTGAACCTGCGACCTTTTGTTCAGCAAGTTCAGTAGCTCAGCGCTTTATACCACTGCACCATCGAGGGCTCCTATGATATAGTACAATATATTATATAATACTAATAGTATAATATACTGGTAGTGTATTATATATATCTGTATAAATAAAAATGTAATGCTCGTTTGTGGGAGTAACAGAACTCAAAAACCACTGGACAAATTGACACCAAATTTAGACACAAGACACCTAATACCCAATGTATGTCCTTCACTCAAAAATTGAGTTTGTCATTTGGGAGTTATAGTTGCTAGGATTCATAGTTCACCTACAATCAAAGAGCATTCTCAACCCCACCAACAATAGAATTGAACCAAACTTGGCACTCAGTTCTCCCATGACCAACAAAATACTGGAAGGGTTTGGTGGGCAGTGTCCTTTGGTTTTGGAGTTGTAGTTCACCTACATTCCGAGAGCAAAGTGGACTCAAACAATGATGGTTCTGGACCAAACTCTACACAAATATTCAATATGCCCAAATGTGAACACTGGTGGAGTGTGGGGGAAATAGAATCCTGACATTTGGGAGTTGTAGTTGCTGGGATTTGTAGTTCACCTACAATCACAGAGCATTCTGAACCCCACCAATGATAGAATTGGGCCAAACCTCCCATACAGAACCCCCATAACCACCAGAGTGGGCCACAGCAATGCGTGGCAGGAAATGGCTAGTAATATATATTATACATACTACAAATTATGATATAGTAGGTTAAAGGTAAAGGTTTTCCCCTAACATTAAATCCAGTCGTGTCCAACTCTGGGGGTTGGTGCTCATCTCTATTTCTAAGCCGAAGAGTCTGCGTTGTCCGTAGACATCTCCAAGGTCATATGGCCAGCATGACTGCATGGAGCGCATTTACCTTCCCGCCAGAATGGTACCTATAATCTACTCACATTTGCATGTTTTCGAACTGCTAGGTTGGCAGAAGCTGGGGCTAACAGAAGAAGCTCACGCTGCTCCCCGGATTCGAACCTGCGACCTTTTGGTCATTAAGTTCAGCAGCTCAGCGCTTTATCCAACTGCACCATCAGGGGCTCCTATGATATAGTATACTATATTATATAATACTAATAGTATAATATACTGGTAGTGTATTATATATTATATGTAATATTACTAATAATATTGCAGCACAGTGGTATAGTCCAATATTGTGATATATAATACTAATATAGTGGTTTGCTAATATAATATATATAATATTGATAATAATATAAAATTAATGCTATATAATAATATATAATAATATTGTAATATGGTAATATAGGAGCACCCGGTGGCACAGTGGTTTAAGCACTGAGCTGCTGGACTTGCTGATTGAAAGGTCACAGATTTGAATTTGGGGAGCGGCATGAGCTCCTGCCAATGTAGCAGTTCGAAAACATGGAAATGTGAGTAGATCAATAGGTACATCTCCGGCAGGAAGATAATGGTGCTCCATGCAATTATGCTGACCACATTACCTTGGAGGTGCCTACGGATAATGCCAGCTTTTTTCTGCTTTAAACTGGATTATATGAGTCCGTGCCAAATATTCTGGGATAAACAAAAACCTGTGATCAGATCCTGGAATATAGGCTGTCTGGAAGGGCCCTGCTGGAAGAAATAGGTCTTTAGATGGTGTTAAAATTCCAACAGCTCATTTAGCTGTCAGAGTTCTTCCAGCAGGTAATTCCACAGTTGTGAGGTGGCCAATGAAAAGGTCCTGTGGGAGACGGTCACCAGTCAGGGTTTGGCTAGTTGGAGTAATTGCCCCCCAGAGGACCTAAGTATTCGGGGACAATTTTACAGGAGAAGGTGGTCCTTTAGGTAACCTGGATCCAAAGCATGTAAGGGTTTAAAGGTCAAAACCAATACCTTGTACTTTGCCCAGAAACTAATTGGCAGCCAGTGACGTGATTTTAGAATAGGTGTAATATGCTCACTCCTAGATATTCCTGTAACCAGTCTGCCTGCCATATTTTGAACAAACTGTTGTGAGATTTAAAATGAATCCTGGATGGAAATCATGCAGCTCTTCAGGTGTTGTTGAAGTCTGCATGGTTACAGAATAGGATTTCTTTCCGAATTAGACTACAATCCTAATCACCTCTCTTTGGGCAAACAACTTTCCAAATGGTTTTTGAATCCAAGCACAACACCCCTATCCAGTAGTGAGGAATGTTGGGGGTTGCAGTCCAGCATCCTCAGAGAACCAAAGTATTCTTAGCCCAGAGTACTTTCAATAAAATACCAAGTAAAGGAATCCCTGGTTCATGTGGCTTTTTATTATCTGAGAAGAGAAAGCAGGCATTGTATATGATGCGCAGTGAGGATAAGAGCAAGGACACCTGCTGATATTTGCTCTCTCTGACTCAGGCCCCATCTACATTGCCATATAATGCAGTTTCAGAATGCAGTAGAACTGCATTGAACTGCATTCTATGGCAGTGTAGATTCATTTCATCCAGTTCAATACAGTTAAACTACATTCTGAAACTGCATTATATGGTACTGTAGATGGGCCTTCACTACAGGAATTCAGCTGCCCACTTAATCAAGCTATTTTTATATGCTGGAAAGAACTGAAGACCCAGTTAGCTTGCCCATTAATTTTATATGGGGTTGCTGTTTTCCCCCCAATCATTTCAGCTGGACAGTCCAACAACAGATTCATCACCCCACCAAACCCAATAATTACAGCTGGACTGTCCCAACAACAAATTCACTAAATCCCTCCATGACAGAACAGTGTTTCTTGTAGAAACCATTTCGAGATGAGATACAACTGCATAAACCGAATAAACTGTTCAACTGCCTGTTTTAATGCTAAAACGGTGTAAATAATTGAGTGATGTGAATCTGTTCTATTATTGTTAGAAAGGTGTGTCATTAAATAATTTTAAAGAAATAGATCTTCCCTCAGTTTTAGAGCATTTTAAATTGTCATAATGACCACAGTCTTCTCCATTGCATGTTTGAACATCAAGTTTCAATGTGCATCCTTTTAAAATAACAGGCTTTCCGAACACTGTCTGTACACAGATTTGCACAATGCATTGAACCATAGCTTGTTTGGTACAAGCAGCATTGTGATAAATGCTACTTTACTGCTCTTACTAACAGAAAGTAAGCAGGAGGTAGTTACCCACATTACACAATGTAAAACACCGTGAAGACGGCTCCTGTTTTGTAAAACTGTTCCCAATGGGAGGAATTAAACAGTGTACATCAGCATAATTTTTAAAACGTGACTATAGAAATCATGTATTTAAAAACACTCATATGCTGTGGTGTAGTTCCTAGCAAAAAAAACATCCTGAATTTTTTTTGTTCAGTTTCGTATTTTCTTTTTGCAGGTTTTGAAACTCTCTATTCCAGAAGTGACTTCTAATTCATTGCTTGACACGTATCAAAAATGCTTTACCTTGTTGGACTTGGGCTTGGAGATGCCAAAGATATTACAGTGAAAGGCCTGGAGGTGATCAAACAATGTAGCCGAGTATACCTGGAAGCGTACACTTCGATCCTCACCGTTGGAAAGGAAGCACTGGTAAGTAGATACCCATACGAAGTGGGGTGCGGAGTGAAAAATGAAAGAGTCATTGCTGTGCTTGGATTAGCAAGACCTTGCATCTTTTTTCTGTAAAAGGTTTCATGTATATTTGATTGAGATCTACTTGTTTTCTCTCTCTGTTTAACTCACTTCACAGAATAAAATTGGATAACCTCCGATCCATTTCTTTGTCTAATCTCTGTAATCGTGAGGTTAATCAGTGATACATGATAAACCAGTGACAAAATCACAATTTGCAAGGGGATTTTAATGAATATATGGTTCCTGTTTAAAACATTTCAGTATTTAAAAAACCCTTGATTCAGTGCTCTGAATGATTGAATAGTATCTTCTGCTTGTTTAAAGTGCAGACCTTTGGTTCAAGTTCCTGTCACTGAAAACATCCACGTTATGCTTCAAATGACGGCTTTGTATAAACGTAAAACACAGACTGTCTAATGATTTGGGGCAGGGGAGGGAGAAACAGCAACCCTGTAATGTACACACTGAATAGGTGCTGTAACTCAAGGAATGAAAAACAGACCATAGCACAATATACTTCATTTTATTATTCCTGCTGCCATTTTTTCCTTTGGCCTTCGGTTAACTATATTTCATTGGTTTCTATATCTGACACATCATTTGTTTTTCTGCGCTGACAGTATACCAGGGATATAGTAACAAGGGGATATAGCTCCAAGTAAGAAATCTGCCCTCCCAATGAAAATTTAATTCAATCCCCAGTTTTTGGCCTTACAGAGTGTGAAACAGGAAATCATTCACACCTACAACTTCTACACAAATATATAGCAGTTAGTAATGTAGATATGTTCATAAATATTACATAATTTTCTTTGTCCCATAGGCAGGGGTAACATGGAGAGTATAGGGATAGGTTCTTGCACCACAAAAAGGGAAAGTTGGTCAACTTCCTTCAGGTAACCTTTTATTCAAAATTAACTATGCGTCGATGTGAAATGAAACAAGGTAGTTCTTATATAAGTAAAGAAGAACCTTTTCAATTTTCTAGAGCAGGCATGGGCAAACTTCAGCCCTCCAGGTGTTTTGGACTTCAACTCCCACAATTGTGGGAGTTGAAGTCCAAAACACCTGGAGGTCCAAGTTTGCCCATGCCTGTTCTAGAGACCACTTATAGAGCTGCTGTTTACCTTTCTTGTTGTAAACCATGCTTGCTGCTACAGATCAGCGAGAGCATAATCCCATTCTCTTCTAGCTCAAGCTTTACTGCATTGTTTATTGAAAAAATACTGCTGCAAGCCAGTAGCAAAACATTTCTCCAGCTTCTAGTTTCATCATCCTCCCAGTGCCGATGCTACATTAAAAAGCTAGGCAGAGGACAAAAAGAAAAGGTAAGGATAGGTTGTTGTAAAAAAGTGTAAAAAGTAGCGTTTTTTGTTAGTGAAGAAATTCCTGTACATTCCCTTAGTCACTTTGTCTGACATTTCTAAATGTTCAACTGAAGTTTTAAGTTACTGCAGTGCTAGAAACATAATTTTGTTGGAGGCAGAATTCTTATGAGATGGGAAAGGGCCTCATTATGTCCTCTCCACATTGGGTCTACCTCTTCTGTAGCTATATCCCAGCAGCACACTTCAGAGCCAAACTCAGCAGGAGCATCTTTGATAAACATGGGCTTCTTAATAAGTATGTAAAATATGGGTATCAGCAGTCAGTGTCAAAATGAATTGGTAAAAGGAGGGGAATGAAAATGGACCCCCACCTTATCTCACAGGACTCATATGCATTCAGAATAATTTGTTACAGTCCACTTCCCTTTTTGACTTAAAACCAAGCTGGAGAAAATGTCTTGGAAAAAGAACAAGCATTGTGAGTTTGAAGTAGAGAGATCTTGTTTCAGTCCTTTCTTCTGTCTCCTTGTTTTGACTTTAAAATCCATCTCAAACTGGCTGGCTTGTGTTTGTGAAACACACACAACACAATTCTAAATTTGCCTGCAGCATGATGCTGCTTAAACTGAATGACAGTAACTTTTCCTGAATATGTCCAAGTAGTCTTGGCCTATAAAATCCTATACGGTTCCGGCCCAGCTTACTTATCCAAACATATCTCCCTCTACAATCTGCCTTGGAATTTACGATCGTCCGGGGAGGCCCTGCTCTCAATCCCGCTCTCCTCACAAACACAACTGGCAGGGACGAGAGACAGAGCCTTCTCAGTGATGGCCCCCCGTCTGTGGAACACACTCTCCAGGGAAATTAGGTCAGCTCCATCTCTCCTTTCCTTTAGGAAAAAGCTCAAGTCATGGTTCTGGGACCAGGCGTTCAAGTAGCAGGTTTAACAGCAATTTGCAATGCTTCGTGAGAACTGATAATGGCTTTGGACTGGGTCTCTGGAAACTGAATTGGACTTGGATGGGGCTATATTGTTGTAAATAATGTTTTTAGATGGATATTTTCTAACCTATTGTTTTTAACTAATGTTCATGTGTGTTTTACTATGTTATACTATGTTGCTTCTATGTGTCGGCATCAAATTGTTGCCGGTTATAAGCCACCTGGAGTCACACACACACACACACACACAAACACCCGGTTGTGAAGGACGGGGTACAATTGTTTGAAATAAATAAACTTTGAAATAAATAATGAATCCTCCAGGAATTTGTCACGCCCCTCTTTTAAGCCACTCAGGTTAGTGGTCATTGTTTAGAGATGTAAATTTTCCATGAATTTTGAAGCTATGGGGGAAAATTTATTTATTTATTTATTTATTTGGAGCATTTATTAACCGCCATTCTCAGCCCACTCGGGCGACTCACGGCGGTGTACAGTACAAAAGGCAATTCACACAAAGACAAGTACAACAGCATATTAACCATACAACAATACAACAGTTAAAATTACACTAACTAATCCGCTTCGTCTCGTAATAGAATCGTGACCAATCTCGTATTCCTTGTACCATTCCAGTCGTCTTTACCACATTACTATAGCACTTAATTAAATGCCCTCTCGAACAGCCACGTCTTGAGGCTTTTTCGGAAGGACAAAAGAGAGGGCGCCTGCCTGATGTCTGTAGGGAGAGTGTTCCACAACCGGGGGGCCACCACTGAGAAGGCCCTCTCTCTCGTCCCCGCCAGGCGTGCCTGTGAGGCAGGCGGGATCGAGAGAAGGGCCTCCCCAGACGATCTCAAGGTCCTCGTGGGCTCATAGGCCAAGATGCGGTCTGAAAGGTATTTTGGGCCGGAGCCGTTCAGGGCTTTGTAGGCCAACACCAGCACCTTAAATTGGGCCCGGTAGCAAATCGGCAGCCAGTGGAGCTGGGACAACAAGGGTGTTGTGTGCTCCCTGTATCCCGCTCCAGTTAGTAACATGGCTGCCGCACGCTGAACCAGCTGAAGCTTCCGGGCCGTTTTCAAGGGCAGCCCCACGTAGAGAGCGTTGCAGTAGTCAAGCCGGGATGTGACCAGAGCGTGTGAAATTTATTATTTCCCAATTTGAGGGAAAGGGATGCAGAGCTAACCTTAAGAAATGGGGGTACAAAGTTTAGTCCACAACATGCGAGTGCAGGGAAGAAGAAACCACAGACCACTAACTACAATACAGTCTAAGCCCTACCACATGCACAACAGAGGACCTCCTTACAGCCACACCAGAGGCACCCCAAGTGGCCAGCAACAACTATTTGAAAACAACAGCTAGTTGAAAATTACTGTGACTTTAGGAACATAAAGCTAATTATGTATAACATGTCTTGGGACAAAAGCATCATACTTAATATGTTCAAGATGCAGTGTATTCAGGAAATTGTTAGAATTTATTTTACTTTCCAACATACTCTTATGAGTGGAGTTACAAGGTCTTGAATAGAAGGAATCTCTTTGCTTTTGATAATTAATGTGGAACAGACTGAAACAAACTTCATTTTAAACAGAAAAACACATCAACATTAGGAAAACAGAACATGATTTTGTCTCTCCTAAGATTCCATAATTGCATGCAGGCATAAAGCACATATTCCAATTTTAAAATTAGGAAAAGGAAACCAGGACCAGGAATTAGAATTTTGTGAAATATTATTTTATTAGTGTTTCTCAGGCTGTCTGATGTGCAGGATCAGCAATCACCTTTTCCCAATATACAAGTGACCATGAACATATTTGTACCCATTAGCGACTACAGTTCCTTTCTTTCCTGGAAATTCTCCTTCAACCAATGACCCATAGACTGCCATTGAACCAGAGACCACCACTTTTTGAGCAGCACTGCTCTATTTGGTCTACATAGATTTAGAAATAATGTGTAGGAGGTGATATATGAAAACCTTGTCTTAAGTATTTTACTCACCATTATAAAAGAAAATATTCCGCAATCCCTTGGCAGATTTCTTGGGCCTTTACATCCCTGTCATTATAGCATGTTGTGCTAGTTTAACTGTGTACAATGTGAAGAAATTCCTGTGCTGACCTTAGAGAATTGTGTGTTTTCATTTCATTATGAAAACACCACTGTAGAATGCATACTACTGTAATAATATCCCCCTTACTTTTGCCCCCAGGAGGAATTCTATGGCAAAGAGTTGATTCTTGCTGACCGAGACGTTGTGGAGCAAGAAGCAGATACAATCTTGGAAGATGCCCATCAATGTGACGTGGCTTTTCTTGTGGTGGGGGATCCTTTTGGGTAAGAAGAGACAACACAGCTAAATAATTGTGTTAGCCATGCTTTTCTGCCACAAAGTTTGGTTTGATTATATGGAGAGGATGGAATTTGAGTTGTAATCTATTCAAGATGAGATCATCTGGGATTTTAGAAAGTGACTAGTTTTCTTTTGAATGTGAAAACATTGGCTATCTTTGTGATTTAAGGCTAAATCATATTCACAGAGGTTTTTTTGCCAGGCACTGGGTGCCCACGTATCTTAAGTAGACAATCATATACTTTGCTCCCAGCACCATGTGAATGTGCCCATAGTTTTTCCACAGTTTGCTTTAGCCATGCTGTTTTGATTTGGATGAGACAATATAGCAAGGAAGAGACCATAAGAGAACACAGATTCATTGCATGCTCATGGATCACTCTTACTTGCAGTGAGAGAACAGCTAATCCAGGATGGGATAGGAATTGACTTCTCCAGACTCCCCAGGCAATAAAAAAGGGAAAGCCTTCAGGAGTGGCAGATTAGCTTCACATAGTTGTAGTCCTCCCCTCTGCAGTGTTTTTTTTTTTTTAATAAAACATGGTTACTTCTCAAGGTTTTGCTTTGGCATTTTGGCATTTTTAGCTGTCAACATGATGGTTTTGAAAATACTTCTCATCTTGAATTTGGGACCCAACCAAACTACATGACTATGGTACTGCATCCCATGGTAGCAGCCATAGCAAAATCAAATGAAATCTTGGAATTTGAAGTTTGGAAAGGAGCCCCTGGTGGCACAGCGGGTTAAATTGCTGAGCTGCTGAACTTGCTGACCGAAAGGTCGGTGGTTCAAATCCGGGGAGCAGGGTTTGCTCCCACTGTTAGCCCCAGTTTCTGCCAATCTAGCAGTTTGAAAACATGCAAATGTGAGTAGATCAATAGGTACCGCTCTGGCCACATGACCTTGAAGGCATATACGGACAACACTGACTCTTCGGCTTAGAAATGGAGATGAGCACCACCCCTTGACTTAATGTCAAGGGGAAACCTTTAAGGAGCATTTAGATGTCTTAACCAGAAAGTTCTAGTTCATCTTACCAAACTACAAAACCCAGAATCCCAAGTGCCATTGCAGTTAAAGTAGAATATTGTGCTATCATCGTATAGTGTGAATGTGTCTCTAAATGGATCTTGGAAGAGTTACTCTTTGGGCTGAAACTCACCATGGCCATTTTGGTTAGGGGAGTTTAGAAATTGTAATCTAGTGGCCATGCTGGATGAAAATTTGGAACTTTTAGTAAGAAAAAAAATCCAAAACTTTTCCTAGCTTGAGGGTTTTGAAGCACTGGTTACAAAGATATCCAATAGCCATCATTGTTGGCTCCAAGCCATGAAAGAGAAGAAAAAATAAATGTGTTAGTGTAGGAAGACTGGAGAAAGTGCTGATCATGGCATATTCTCAGTTTGCTAATGATGTTTAAGGCAACAAGAAGTTCACACCTGCTAACATAGTTTCTTGAACCACGTCCTTAGGACCAGGGACATCTGTTTCCTTGATACATAAGCCTACCCATCAATAATGCAACAACAGCCCTTAAATTCATTATGATTGTGCAAGCTGCCCTCTGAAAAGCAATTTGGCTACATTTCTTTTCCTGGTTGGCAGTCTCATTTGTTGTCCTTGCTCCTTTCCATTATATTTCCATTGAATCTTGCACCTGCAAGCCACGTGGTCACTTTTTTTGGATCATAATGCTATGGCATCATTGCGCACTTGATGTGTTCCCTTCGTGTGCATGTGATCTGGTCTTCTGTGAACATCTGGGTCATTACCATCGTATCTGTTTGGTTTATTAAGCTTCTTAGTGCCGTTCCTGATTCCCACTGGAAAGGGTTGCCTTTTCCCCTGCCAGAAGGCTGCCCTGCCCCAGCCAGTCAAGCATCATCAATCTGTAATGTCAAACCACGTCGAAGGGGGCTTTTGTTTCCAGCTGGTGGTTCAAAATTAATATTGCTGTGGTGCAAAGGGGAAGCTGTACTTGGAAAGTGTAATCACTGTGTACATCACACCAGGGGTTCCTTCTTGTGAGGAAATGTGTGTGTCCCAAAAAAGGAGTGTAATTAGTGTAAATATACCTCCTAGGGAAAATTAGGAGGCCATTTATTTTTTTCCTTTCCTTTTTTAATTGAATGGGTACTTAACTACAGATGATGCCTGCCTTTGAGAATCAAAGTAATTATGCCATTCATGAATGGTTATTATGAAAATCTGGGAGCATATCAAAGGTGACTTAATTGCCGATTTGAAAAAATAAGTGATTATATGTAGCACATATAAATATAAGTTTGTCAGTCATGTTATTTACAGAAGCTTCATCCTGTAATTTCAACAGGGTATTTTAGTGGTTGTTCTATTTTCTAATAATCAGGAGTATACAGTTTAAGCTAATCCAATGCAATTACTCATAGTTTCATTTGCCCATGTCTGCAAAACATACCCTCACTAGGACCTACTGGTGCTTCTGTGGTATGCTTTGGATGGACATTAACCATAAAGTCACACTAGAGGACCTAGCAATGCCTAAAGATGTGCCCTCTCTAGGCATTTCTAGATTCTCCAGCTAATCATTTCTCCAATAGGGTTTGCCATTACTCAATTCAGTCTACCCACACAAAGTCCTGCAATGAATCTCCTACAAATATAAGAGTTTTATTGTACATGTTAACCTGGAGATAAGTTTCATGGGTGATTTTTATTCTAAAATGACCTGCATCGAAGCTGTGTTACCATAGATACCTAACCATATTATTTCTTACTGACATTTTGGATGTGTGGAAGGAGCAAAGAAAAGCCTAATTCAGATAAGACTGAAGTTTGAGGGTTCAGGGTTTTGTTGATCAGGATGAACATGTTATTTGAGTTCTAGATCCCAATTGCCCTTTTCACTCTGTACTGTGTGATGATCTAAAGCTAACAAAACTAACCCTCAATCTTCTCTGAAGGTACAAATGGCATGAAATACCTTGAGGGAAAGATAAGATAAAGCTGTAGTCAGGATTTACCTCAATGTGAAAGATGTTCCAGTATTCTAAAAGAAAATTTGGAGTGGAAGACTTTATTGAACATCTTGGCAAGCAAAATACAAGAAGAGAAGACAAGTGGCATAGGAGAACAAGTTCTGGAAGGAAAAACTAAAATTTTATCAGATGGAGTGGGAAAACATTCTTGCTCTGATTGCTGTTGGATATCTGGGAGTTGGGACACTGGGTCATCACCATTGAGCAAGAAAATGCACTGAGAGATTAACACTCCAGCTCTATCTTCTGTTGAAATATAATTCTCCATTGAATTTTAGGTCTCAAAAGACTTTAGAAATGGGATAACCCAAAGGCCACTTCCTGTTTCTAAAAACCAGGAAGGTATTTGACTGCCTAAGGACCTCATCAGACAGGTGTAGGGCTCTGTTTCAATCTGCAAGGCATCACATGATGTAGGAGCACTCCCGATGGGAGTCTATTTAACTCAGTTTCTGCAACGCACAAAAATGGAGCCTCTTCAGGAACCAGGAGCCAGGAGTTACCTGACTCCAAATAGCCTTAAGCTGGGAGAAAACAGAGAAAAGACAGGTAAAATCATGGGATGGCTGACCATCCCTCAGGATGAGAGGCAGTAGGGCAGTGGTTCTCAACCTTCCTAATGCTGCGACCCCTTAATACAGTTCCTCATGTTGTGGTGATCACCAATCATAACATTATTTTCATAACTAATTTCACTACTGCTACAAGTCGTAATGTAAATATCTGACATGCAGGATGTATTTTCATCCACTGAACCATATTTGGCATTTGGGAGTTGTAGTTGCTGGGATTTATAGTTCACATACAATCAAAGAGCATTCTGAATGCCACCAATGATAGAATTAGGCCAAACTTCCCACACAGAACCCCCATGACCAACAGAAAATACTGTGTTTTCTGATGGTCTTTGGCAACCCCTCTGACACCCCCTCGCGACCCCTCCAGGGGTCCCGACCCCCAGGTTGAGAAATGCTGCAATAGGGTAAGGCGGTTCTCCCTGCTTTCTCCATTTTCCCCCTTCTTCATCTAATGTAGTCCTAAGTTTTATTTTCCCTGGGAGAGCAAGGCTTTCTCTCAGTCCCACCACCATTGAAGGCATGCAAGAGACAGTCTTTTCAGTGGCTGCCCCAACACTGAAATTCCTTCTCATGGGATGCTTGGTTGTCCTGCTCTCATATTTGTCTGCCTGTAGCCAAAGACCTTACTGAACCTTTTGCATGTTAACCATCTGTTGCAGGAGCTGTTTTAATCAGGCTGTATTATACTGCATTTTTGTTATAATTATTAATATTCTAAATCACTTTTTTAAAAAACTGTTCGAAATCAACGTCTTTGATGCAGTTATCTTGTTTATTTACCTTTGTAGTCTTTTAATTATGTTTTGCTATAACTCATATTGTGAGTCACGTTGGATCCCACATTGGGAGAATGGTAGAATATTAAATCAAGATGTAGTGCCACAATGTAATGCCATGAGGACAGAAAATCTCTTCTCATTACAAGGAAATCTGATGCAAAGAATAATCTTTATCTTATCTCTAATCTTTTGTGTCGAGGCACAAAAATGATAACAGTGAAATATAGTTTGAGAAAGACAAAGGAGCTATAACGGGCAGAGAACCCCAGTGGAAAACAATTCCTGATGCAGGGCTTCCATAACCACATTCCCTCCCCAGATGCTATATCTGTTCCCTGCTCACTTACATGGAATGAGCAGCCTTGAACAAAAGTACCTTGGGGAAAAGAGGACAGCTGAAGCCATTGTTTGGATTTGGATTTCTTATGGAAATGCATTTCAAGGTTGGACTACGCAGCGCAGCAAACACAATTGCTGTATGCTGGATCAGCCACTGATGGAGTGAAAGCATTCAATCATAGTGACACAAACATAACCTCTTCCTTTCTTGCCCAGGGTTTGGGAGCAATAAGTTGCAAATGTAGTCATACATAACAATCTGTTTGGAGG